AAAGTAGAGTCATTCTTGGGGAGTTATTTACATGCACCCTCCCTATTCTGCTTTAGATGAAAACTTTTAAAAACAAATAAAAGTCATATGGATCTTTTTGAGTGTGCTCTTACTCTGCTCATTTTGACATAACTGTTAAATACTGCAAGGAACTGTGAGTAGACTGATGTGACTTCTGCTGCAGTGAATGAAGTCACAAGCCTGTCTTATACAAGAGCCAGGGTCCAGACATAACAGCAGGGAGGACTATGAAGGTGCTCTTTCCAGCATAACCAGGCAAGAGTAGTATCACTAGAAGGAACTCCTCTAACACCACTTGGCATGGGTATTTCAACCAACCTCTGCCTGGGGATCACCAGGACTGGAAAGATATAAACCAGTGATTCTTCTTGGATCCCAGCTACTGCTGAAGAAATCTAATATTTCTCTTTTTATTAATGTAAACAGACAGCTTTGAAAAGGGATCCTTCCCACATTTTATAAGATTGCATTAGGTAAGTAGGAAAGTGTCATATAATCTAGGGACACTCTATTTCACCATTATTACTGCACTCTATCTGATTTTCCATAGATGTGCCATTGGTGATAGAGTGTGAGTTTAACCAGTGGTGGCTTCTGTTCAAGTGCTGATACATGTTGTTCAAACAAAAAGAGTATTTGATTATAATGATTATTTTAAAATAGTCATTGGATATTCTCAAATAAACCAACTGACCCTCAACTGTGCTGTCTTGTGGAATTAAGAGGAAGGGTATTCAGAAAAGTGGTTATGAATGTTTCTAAGAACATAGCTCTCAGACTTGAGTCCTCAGAACACAGATTCATTAGACAGCCAACCCTAAGCAACAAGGAATGGTGAAGACGTGTCCAGCTTGCTAAGCAGCCTGGCTCTTCTCCATATGGGGAATTAGTCTGTCTTGTCTTTTGCTGAAAAGGATCACATTTCAGCTCAAGAGTAGCAACATAGATTTGGTCAAGGACTTCTCCCCTAGCTCCACCCCCTGAACCTACACACCCAGATGGGAATGTGGTGATTTAGCAAATTGAATGCAAGTTCAGAGATTGCTTTAAACAACAAAAGCAAGAACTTGATGTAATTTGCAAAAAAAAAAAAGAGAGATACACATACATACATACATACATAGAAAGAAAGCAGCTAGTTGCAAAGTAATCAAAGAGCAAATAACACTGGAACCTAATTTGCCAATTGCCTCATGTCTAAGTGGACATTCAGAACCAGCTGGATACCACTGAAGCCTGCAAAGTTAACCTCCCATTTAACTCTTTTTTGATCTTAGTGCTTAATGCAGGCCAACATCTGCTCACACATTAACTGTGGAGTACTCCAGATCAAAGAGCCTCTAATTATATGAGATTTCTTCAGAACTTAAATTTCACTAGCTCAACTAGTAAGATAAAAAGATAACTTAGGTATAAGCACCTGAATAAACCTGCTAGATATTGGAAGACAGCAGGGTAGAGGAAGATGCCTGTAACAAATACTGTTCACACACATTTGTTTTCTACTTCACTTTAAAAGAATGTAGGAAAACCATTTTTCTTAACTGGCAGACATTAAAGGGTTTCAGCTGAAAGTTACTAAAATGTTACAAATGGTTCACTAAAGTACGTAAGAACAACTTTCACCTAAGGATGTCAAAGCATCTAACAAGATGGGGTAACATTAAATCAAGAAAAGTTTAAAACAGAAGTTCATTTTAGTATTAAGAATATACCATCCTGCATGTTATTTGGGTAATTGTAGGAAATCCATGTTTGTGTCTTGGACTCTGCCATAGTGCCAGCCTGGTATGTGGTAGATGTTCAATAAATGTTTGTTGAGAGAATTGTAAAAAAATAGTTCACAAGTCTCATTGCATTTCCACAAGTATAAGCAAACTTGTTACTTATGGAATGCATGGGGTCAAGCTTGACTGCTGGTTTATTGGCTGTTATTAAGTCATTTTATTATCCAAATTTAGCCAATGTCTACCTTTAAGTAAAGGCAGTGATATATCTTGCCAAATAAATGATGGAAAAGAATAAAAAACAATTTAAATGACTGTTAAGTCATACACATGTCATATCATAGTCTTATAAGAAACCCCACCATTATCTAACACATTCTTTAACCTCTGCTTAAACTCTTCTAATAATAGAGAAGACACTATGTCACACGGTAACTCATTCTGGTTAGGGCATAGATTTGATCATTATATAAATGATCCTCCTCATTTGGAAGTGAATTCTGCCTCCCGTAAATTCAATGCTTTGTATCTATATAAAAGCCCTCTAACTTTATGAAGATCCTTCAAATATCTGAAAAATATTATTATGTGTTCCTTCCCTCTCATTCCCCCAAACTGAATATCCTCATCCAAAATAAACATTCATATTCTCTAAGACATGGTTTACAGGCCCTCCTCCCTATTTTGGGCATCTTCCAGTCTGCTTATGCCATTTTTCTAATATGAAATACTAAAACCGGAAAAAAAATTATTTTAGACTTTTTTTCTATGATCATTGTCTTATACATGCTTGACTTATATTAAGCTTGATATTAACTGACACTTCGAAGATGTTTTTATGTCAATTACTGTTACACAACATCAGCCTATCCTTTATTTGTGTGACTAGTTTTTGTTTCTGAGTTTAGGACTTTACATTTATTTACATTTAAAAATTTTCATCTCAATTTGTTTTGCATAATATTTCAAGCTATCATTATAGACTACTGAGACTTCTTCAGTCTTGAGTCTGTCATTCATGTGACATACATTGTATTAGCTTATCCTCTCCTAAACCAACGGTGAAATAAATACTAAATAAACTCAAAATCAAGTCCAGGAACTTCTATCTGAATCCTATTTTCAGCTTCTCTAAGGCTCCATGCAGGGGAAATTTACGTGTTCTAAGTGCCTTTGAGCCAGAATTATCTTTCAGCATTTTGATGCCCAGAAATGACTAAATGCCTCAGGGCTTTTGTTTGCTTTAGGTTAAAAGCTGGAGAAGTTTCAAACTGTGTAGGAATCTTTTCTTTAAGCGATGGTATTTCATTTCAGTTTGAAGTCCTGTTTTCAAATGGAACCTTAAGAGACTTCTACCTTTCCTTTCCTTTTCTTCCACAATGTCGATCTCATTTTATGTTCCTCCCAATCTCTACTTCACCCTTACCTCAAAAAACTTTATTCTTTTCTTAAGAGATCATGTTAATCCATCAAGAGGAAACACACTGGAGAGCAGGAACCCAAAACCACCCTAGTGGAGAGACAGACACAAGCACAGAGTGAGACTGTACTTCACATCTGGAAATTCCCTTATTCCTCTTTTGCTTCTTTCCTGTCGGTATTATTTTAACATGAAACGGAGCTGAATTTGAACTGTATAAATAGAAGCCCTTAACAAAATGTACCTCATAGCAAAATGATGGTTTAATGAAACCTAGAGATTAGAGTTCTGCTTTAAGTCAACAAGGTGTTATTTTAACAAACTTCCAAGCTCTAAAGATGTAGAGCACAGTTTACAGGTATATGGCACGCTCAGAGATCTGCTACCTACAGGCTCTGACTTGCAATCAGAGGCATTTATCTCATTTGGTTCAGGCAAGGCAGTATCATGTGCAGCTGAGATCCTTTCAGAATAAGAGCTGGAAAACTCATAGCTTGGCCACTCCCTTGCTCTGTGACTTTGGACAAGTCATTTAATCTATGTGGGCTTGTTTCAACTTTTATAAATTGAGGTGGTGCTGAATTAAATCATCCTGAAGTCTCTTTTAGTTTTAACATTATCATTCTTCTAAACATGTTTTTATGCATGAAGTTTACAATGTTTGTGATTATAAAATGATTCATTAAAGAAAAATTAGACAAAATAAAGAAAAATCTTTGTAAAATCACTACCTAAAAACAACTGCTGTTATTTTTCTAATTCTATTTTCTATACACATTTCTACATAATATTTAAATACTAGACATTTTTGTTCACCTGGGGCTCCTCCAGCCTGGGCGTATATACCTTACACCAACGTGACCTGACCTCTCTGGACACTGGATACAACCACAGTCCATTCTAACTAACAAAGGGCCTAGAAGTTGTGGTTTGACTGAAACAAACAAAAAAATGAGCTAGACCACTCAATTTAGGAATTTGGAATTGGGAGATTGAGAAATGAAATCAATTAGTAATGAGGTTGAGATGAGCAGATGCATGATATAATAGAAGCTAAGGAAAACATTTTGAACAATGTGCACACTGAAGTTATGATGACAGCAAAATTACGTTTAAGGGGAGGAGGTTGAAGTGGTAGAGCAAGAAATATGGAGTAGGCATGCAGGGAGAAGGCTCGAGAGGAAAATCTAGTAGCCTGAGAGAAGACCTTTGTGCTTAGTAATTTTCCAGATTCAGTTTCCAAGAGGTCTATCTGTTGTTGACCCCTATGCATTGATTCTCATGAGGCTCCTGAAACATACTTAAAATAAAAGTCCTTTTATCTGAGCTAGGTCAATGTTACTGGCAACCAAAAGAGATCTGACTCAATTTAAATTTGAATTAAGATATTTTATTGATGATTATAAACTATTTCCCCAAGTTACTGCATATGGTTTAGATGCATAGTTTTCAACGGCTAAATAATAATGTATAGTAGGATACATTATATAAAGAACCTGAATGACAGTGAAACTGATTTCTGTTAGAATTATTCCCTAGGTATTAAAAAATCTAAGACCAGAAGTTACCCAAAGGATTCTGGAAAATCTCCAGCATTCTTTCAAGGATCGTTTTACCTGCCAGAAGAGGACACACACACACACACACACACACAAACACACACACACAGAACTACACAGCTTAATCAGTAGAATTTAACATGGAGAAATTCTTGAAGCCTGACTTCAAAAAAGTCTCTTGAGTGCTGTTTTCCTAACTTAACCCATTACGAATGTTTTTATGAGGGCACAGTGGGTATTCTCCAGCTTCCCCATGCCATCATAATTCAGACATAGCCCCACCCTAACCTGATCTTAGTCATGGAACAAGAAAATCCGGGACAAAGGCCACTGTGAAGTTCAGATGAGCAGGTTAGGCATACAGGAACAACACGTGCACCTTAACTCTAAATCTACATTTTCTAATAGAAAGATTAAAAGAATATAAAATGCCATTATTATCTTTATAAGAAAGGTCAAAGTGGTATCAGTTCATAGACGAAATGGTATCAGCTCAAGCAATGGTATCACCAATGCTTGGTAAAGCCTCCAGCAAGCTATGAGGAATCTAGACTCCATTCAAAATATGATATCAAATGTTGCCCTTTGCAAATTTGGATTGCTTAAGAAAAAAAAATTCTATCCCCTTCCCTCACACAAATTTTATCCACATGGTAACTTGAAAATTCTCCACTAGCTCCTTTTTCTCAACATGATAGGACAATTAGTCTTTCTAATCTGGGTTTCTCCCAAACCCCTGAACTCACACCAATTCTCTCATAAAATTACCCCAATTCAGTATTATTGAATACAGCAGAGACACACTCACTGTTTTAATTAAAGAGGCAAAGGCATCTCTGAATAGGAAGTAGTCTTTGAGTGCTTTGCCTTGTCTTTTTCAGGGAGTTGGTGACAGACACTGTGATGTCGCTAAACCACCTATAAGGTAAGTGACATAAAGTTTTTGTGTTTATTCATATGATTTAAAATGTATTGTGGACCTACTTAAGCATTAATTCTGAGAGAATAGAAAATGAAGTATGTAAAAGCATTTTATAAAATTTAAATATACTTACACTCCAAATGGAGTGCTTTACTTTTGCTGGAAGGACAAATAGGCAACGAGGTCTATTGAACAGATCAGAACATCACAGAACATCACAGACTTGGGTTCAAATCCCACTGCCTGTTTAACCCTTGGCAAGGTCCTCACCATTTCATGTTTTGATTTCCTCATCTATAATATAGCATCATTGATGAATTATGTATTTAATCAAAGTTAAATGTATTTTGTATTAGTGATGCCTCCCTTACTAAGTTAATGAGAATATTAAATGATATCTGTAATGTGTCTGCCATAAAAAGTGGTCTTAATGACATCAGAGTTAGATAGGAATGTCTCTGGTGTTCCATAATTAGCTATGAGCTGGCTATTATTTTCCAATATTATAAAAACTTTCCTGGAAAATCTTCCAATCAAAATATAAAACGTGAAATTGATTTTATCTCTTTTCTAGATATTTTGTTTCAGCTATACAGATATACATCTCTTTAGAAAGCCCAGGAGAGTGAATAAAACATTAGAATTAATGTTTTAAAGGTTCAGTATGGTGACCAGATTCAAAATACATATTTAAAATTCACAAGTTGTTTTGTGTACTGTCAACCATAAATAACGAGATTTAGAAAATGTGTGTGTGTGTGTGTGTGTGTGTGTGTTAGGTAAAGTTTCACTTTCACCCATGCAGGAGTACAGTGGTGCAATCTTGACTCACTGTAACCTCTACCTCCTGGGCTCAAATGATCCTCCTACCTCAGCCTCCTGAGTAGCTGGGACCACAGATGCATATCACCACACTGGACTGATTTTTTTTTATTTATTTTTTTTATTTTTTTTATTTTTGGTAAAGACCAGGTTTCACCCTGTTCCCCAGCTGGGCTCGAACTCCTGAGCTCAAGTGATCCCCACCCGCCTAGGCCTCTCAAAGTGCTGGGATTACATGCATGAGCCACTGTGCCTGGCCTAGAAAACATGATTAAATATAGAGTCTATAACAAACTCCATATTTAGTGGTCTTAATGGGCATACCTGTCTTGTTTCCCTATATAGTTTATAAAAAACTAAATACTTAATCATCATCTAAAGCTTGAGAATGGTCACCTGATGGATAAATTTAAGTTGTCTTGAATATACACTCTGATTTGTGGTAGTTATAGGTGGGTTTTTATGGAAAATAGAAGTAGTAGTTCTTAAGGTATTTAACGAGAATTTATATTAAGTTAATATAAACTATTAATTGACTATATATTGGTTTTTGTATCACAATTTCCAGGAACATGAAGATAATGAGTGAGGCAGTTAGGAGGAAAAATGGCTTTAAATAATTATCCCCAGGCATGAATACCGGGCTGAAGTCCCATACTCATGTCTCTAGGCCTGATAAATTTTGTATATCTCAGTTCAGACTGCTCTGAGCTATTTTTCTTTTCTTGATATCATAAACTAACAGGGAATGAATTAACTTTCCAATGATGACATAAAAAAAAATCTGGATCCCAGCACTTTGGGAGGCCGAGATGGGCGGATCACGAGGTCAGGAGATCGAGAGCATCCTGGCTAACACGGTGAAACCCCGTCTCTACTAAAAAAATACAAAAAACTAGCCGGGCGATGTGGCGGGCGCCTGTATTCCCAGCTACTCGGGAGGCTGAGGCAGGTGAATGGCGTAAACCCGGGAGGCGGAGCTTGCAGTGAGCTGAGATCCCACCACTGCACTCAAGCCTGGGCAACAGAGCGAGACTCCGTCTCAAAAAAAAAAAAAAAATCTGGAGGAAAACATCAACCTCAATCCTCACCTCATCCTATACATCAAAGTCATTTATTCCATAATTGTTTCAGTGTTAAATGTAAATACTGACATCACAGAAAAATCAGAAGTAAAGAAAGGTGATGATATTGGGTCACTCCAGTAAACACACACATCCACCTGTAGATTTAACCATATAGAGACAGAGATATATAGATATAGATACTTATTTAGATGTCAAAAAGTGTAATACAGTAGAAGCATGATACAGTTGGCCTTCCCACCTTTTAATGAAAGGAGCAGTGGCATCTCTGAATATGAAGTCTTCTTTTATTGAGTGTTTTGCCTTATCTTTTTTCAGAGATAGGAAGGTCGACTGTACTACACCATTTTGTACCAGGGACTTTAGCATACAGCAGAGACCTCAGCTTTTACTATCTGCAGGGGTCCTGTTACCAATCCCTGCAGATACTGAAGCATGACTGTGACAGAATTAACCCAAGTTACCTGTGTCACTGGAAGAGGCCCAGGGGAAGGTTCCTCAAACCTCACTGTATTATATGTGTGTCTAATGCTATATATTTGATTAAAAAAATTATTTCCTAGATAGAAGAGACCTTTTTTTCAGTCTAAGGTTTATAAGTTTCTATATCCACCTCCTAGAGTGTCTATGACAAGTTTCTATATCTACCTCCTAGACTCTAAAGCAGTATTAAAAAACCCTATTTTTTAAATCTCAACCAATTCATCTTTTACGCCCAGTGAGAAACATTTGCATGTATATCATCTTCATAAAGTTTTATGACAGCCTTAAAAGATAAAACAGACAATAGGGGAAATATTTGTTTTAAAATATGACAGGATTATTTATATTTATTATGTGAGTTTAACCTAAATAATAAACCTGGGCTTTTCAAACTCCTGGTAAGGCCCATCCTACCCCAAGGACACATCCAAACAAAACACAGATGAAATCCCGTGACCTTGAAGAGGATTGCAGACACTTTATTAAAGACTGTTTTGTTTTGTTTGGAGGAGCAGAGGTATTAATAGCAGGAAACAAGAGATTTCACTGCATGAAACACAGTAAAATTTATTAAAAATCCTCTTTGCCCATCCCTTTCATCAAAGCCTCATTAATCAGAGCAGCTGCTCATACTCCTTATTATCTTGTACCCAAACTGTAGCCCATCCTGGCTTTTTTCTTATCTTCCTCTTATCCCTCCTGCTAAGTAGCTCCAACCTATTGCTGTTTTCATAAATATTCCCCCAGCCCCCAATCAGGTATCTCTATATTTCCACATCTAATTTTTTAAAAATATATGTCCATGCTTTTTCTTATGTTTATCAATTTAGCCTATACTCTCCCAACCCCACCTCACTCTAATCAGCAGAGTTCAACATTCCCCCTTATGAGCAGAGAAATGAGGAACAGAAAAGAGAGAAGGGGAAAGGTGGAGAGATTACGAAACAATTCCACAATTAAACAAATATATGATTTAATATATTTCTTTTTTATCCCTGTCACATATATTTTTTTAAAGTCAGTATTAAAATACTAAAGTTCAAATAGAAGAATGGATCAAGGAAATGAACATGTATTATACAGATGCAGACATATAAAAAACAGTCATAGGAAAAAATAAACCCCACTACTAAATAAATAATAGCAAATGAAAACAATGAGATTTAATTTATTGAACTAGCAAAGGTTAAAAATTATAATATTCAGGCTGGGCACAGTGGCTCATGGCTGTAATCCCAGCACTTTGGGAGGCCAAGGCATGTAGCTTACTGAAGGTCAGGAGCTCAAGACCAGCCTGACAAACACGGCAAAACCCCATCTCTACCAAAAATACAAAAACTAGCTGGACGTGGTGGCCCGTGCCTGTAATCCCAGCTACTAGGGAGGCTGAGGCAGGAGAATCACTTGAACCTGGGAGATGGAGGTTGCAGTGATCCAAGATTGGGCCACTGCACTCTAGCCTGAGCAAGACAGTGAGACTTCTCTGTCTCAAAAAAAAAAAAAGAAAGAAATTATAATATTCAGTGCTGATGGAGGTATAATGAGATTGGCATTCTTAAATATTGCTAGTAAAAACATAGACTGAACATACTTTCAAAAACTAATTAGGTAATACATATTATAAAATTTTATTTCTAACCTTTGTTATTCATTTCTAGGAATAATTGTAAGGAAGTAATCAGAGAAACATACACAGATCTACATATAAGTATGTTCATCATTTATTTTAACATTATTTATAATGACAAAAATTAGAAACTACCAAAATGTCCAGAATTGGTTGTTGGTAAAAATAACTTAAGCTATAGTAATACACTCAAATATTAGTTATTAAAATTGAGATATTTGAAATCTATTTAGTGACATTGTAAAATGCTCATGAAAATATGAAGCTAAAATGAATAAGGTGCATGAACTAGCAAAGACGAACTACATACGCTGAATTATCTAAGTTATATAACACAAATGTGTGCACACATGGAAAGAAAATACAACAAAATATTAACTATGGTTGTCTTTGGATTGTGGAAATTTTCGTTTCCTTTTTGACATTCCCTGATTTTTCCAAACTACCCATAATGAGGAAAAATAAAGTATTACTTCCATAATCAGAAAAAGAGTTAAAAAAAAAAAAAAAGAAAAGACATCCAAATTCTATTGTAAATAATCAAATGACATTTCTATTTGTCATTAATTAACATTCCAAACTCATGGATGAAACTTAAAGATTAAATCTCTTGTCCCTGGAAGAGGCTTTCTTGAAGATAAAATATACCACCCTGGTCCCAGGTAATTTGATAAAGTTGGTGGAGATTAGGAAAAGAAGTGGGAAGAGAAAATTATAGAACATAATGAGAGCTGTACGGTTTCATGAAAAGCCTTAGTTACTTATTCTTAATGATAAAGGAAGTACTTAATTATTAGAAGCCATTAAAGATGAATTATTATTATATTTATATTTTCCTATTTGTCTGAGACATTTAGTAGGTTTTCTAAAAACAACTTTAAAATAGATTATCTCCACAATTTTATCAACAAATGGTAACATCTTTCCTTGGTATTCTTGGGTTGTTTTTATCTTTTTTTTTTTTTTTTTGCATGACAATAGTCAACAAATTATTGTTGAGCACTTGATACTAAGAATAGGATTTGATCTTGACCAGATATGATTGCTTAGCACGCAAGCCTTCTGGACATATCAATTACAAATTGCACACAGAATCATAGAGCCGAAAGTTAATGTTAGAGAAGGAACTTGGTTGATTTTTGAATATCATAGCTTAATCTAATCATCCACTGTTTTATTCAAGCCTCCCATCTTCCCCTGGAAGAGCTAGGTAGGAAGATTAAAACAGTTAAGAATAAATCCATCTTCACCATTAGAAAGCCATCTCAGAGTGTGTCCATTCGTAGAAATTCTGAGGACAGTATCTTAATTTATCATACATATGGAGTTCTTCTGGTCCTTAAAAACATCCCATATGGATGTGATTTTTTGAAAAAAAAAAAAATACCTTCTCAGAGAATTCTTGCAGTACTATCTACTAGTACTAGTATTCCCGGAGTACTATATTTTAGGGTAGTTCCAGAACTGGACACCCCTGCAACAGCCAGTAATGCCTCTGGGGAAACCAAATAGCCAAACATGAGTTAAGAGTTCCTCTCGGGAAATAGCTTCTACCATTATTGAGCTCCCACCCTACTGTTATGCTGGACTCTATTCTAAAGCAGTTATATCCACTTTGGTCACTTGAGGTGATTTGGAGCCAATCACCACATAAAGCAACTCAACTCAAGGGTGACCACACTTGTCGAAGTTTACTCTAAAAAAAAAAAAAAGTTGTATTATAAAATAAAATGCATTTACCAAAAAGGGCATAAAATCTGTATGTATAGTTTAATAAGTAGTTATAAAGGAACACCCATATGGCTATCAACCAAATTAAGAAGAACATTGTCATCACCCCTAGAAACACCCTGTGAAGCCCTTCCTTGTCATAACCCACTCCCTGAGTTCATCTGAAACACTATCTCTCCAGCCCCAGCAGAAATTCTTGGCTGGGATTTTATCAGCACTGAAGAAGTGTTAGAAAGACTTTCCCAAAATAGTCCTTACTGTACAGCACACGGCACTTTTTTGGCATTTAATAAGAAGGCTACTATTTTCAAAAATTTCTCATTGATCATAGGAAATAACTGTTTTCCAGGACAAAATAGGCATAGATGTTCTGGAGGACAGCTTGCTTTAGCAGTGCTAAATAATTCAGCTTGCTTTTTAATGATTATTTCTAAAAGGACATTTTAAAAAATTGACATTTTAAGCAATTTACATTTCCTCTTCTGAATTCTATGTTTATATCACTTAGCTATTGGACGCTGAGTATTTTTCCTATCAACCTGCATGTATATGCATATGCATGTATGTGTAGAAAAACAGATGTTAATTCCTTGTCTGCCATATTTGTAACTAATATTTGCCTCAGCTTGCTGTTTAAGAAGGCATAGAAGTTCTTAATTTCATTTAAATAGAACATATTGACCTTTTCCTTTGTGATTTTTTCCAATGACTTTGAAATAATTTGAATGGGCATTTCCAAACATACACAAAAGAAGCAGGAATATTATAACAAACCCACATGTCTTACTACTTGGCACGATAACTATCAACACTCTGCAATTCTTCTTTCATCAATTCTCTCCCCTTTCCCCAGGGTTCTTTTGCTGAAGCATTTCAAAGTAAATCTCAGATATAATGTTATGCCATATATAAATACGTCAGAGAATGTCTCTAGTGGATAAGAGCTTCTAAAATACAATAAACACACTCATCAACATTAACAGTAATTCCTTCATGTCTGATATCCAATCACGCTCAGTTTTTCCTGATTTTTAAAAAATGTCATTTCAGAATTGGATTTTTGAATCCGTATTAAAAAAGGATCCATGTGCTATATTTGGTTGGTATGTTATTTTAAGTTCTCCCTCTTTTTTCTATTCCAGGCCATTTATTCGTTGAGGAAACTAGGTCACTAATCCTAAAGAATATTATGCTTTCTGGGTTTGGATGATTTATCCTTGTGATGTCATTTACTATATTCCTTTATCACTAAATTTTCAATCAAGTCATAGTCAGATTTATGGATTTGATAAGCTTCAGGTTTAATATCTTTACGGAGAATACTTCATAGGTGGTGTCATAAACTTCCTATTGCATAATGTCATGAGACACATAATTTCTGAGTGTCCCACGTTTAGCAATGTTAAAATTAATTAGTGATTTCGGCATCGTCAGCCTGATGTATCCTTTACAAAATTCCCAAAGAGCTAATGGTTTTAATAGGCATTAATTGTTGCCTAGATCCATTAGCACCCTAGGGCTCCAACATTTTTAAGCGAAGAAAGTCGTACTCTAATAAAATATCATTAAAGAATCACCAGGATGTTTTCCAAAATTTTATTTATTTATTTATTTATTTATTTACATTCAATTCTTGGAATTCATTTTGGTGTACAAAGTTAAATGAAGATTTAGATTGATTTCTTCCAGAAAGGATGTGTCCCAAGAAGGTCTGAAGATAAGCAGTCAAAATGGTCTTTATCACATCATCCATCTAGTGATGGAATTCTGACAAATTCGTGTTTTTCTAGGGGGAATCCTAAACTGTTTTCTAAACATTTAATAATTTTCCCAATGCTCTCAGTGTCCTGGCATTAGAACATTGATGAGAGAGCGGTTTCATTATCTACAGAGATCCTACAGTAAGACTCAGTCTGAGTGAATAGCTGAGAAAATTAGGTGTCTGTTGCGTCCTGTTACAGTGAGTAGGACTTCTATACCAGAATGGAAAACTAACACTCTTGTGATTACTCAAGGTTTTGCTGAATCACTAAGTTTTTGAATCTTGAAACTGTCAGCTTTTTATTTCTGCAAACCATCATTTTGCCACTGAAGGAAATAACCTTGAAAAATCTGTACACATGACATACAACTCAAATTTAAGCAGAAGTAGTCACATTTCCTTTTCCCCTTCTTTAAGAAAAAGAACACACTTGCCTGTTTCCAAATGTTGGCACTTTGTGCCTGCTCCTTAAGTTAGTAGAAATGAAACTTATTGTGAAGGTAATTATTTGGGCCATTTCTTTTCTACCTTAGGAAAAATAGTATCAGATGTTTGGCTTCAATCAGGAAAAAAAGAAAAGAGAAGAGAAGAGAAGAGAAGAGAAGAGAAGAGAAAAGAAAAGAAAAGAAAAGAAAAGAAAAGAAAAGAAAAGAAAAGAAAAGAAAAGAGAAAAGAAAAGAAGAGCAAAGCCGTAAGGCTTATTATGAATGGTTTCCCTGACTCCAAAAATTTCCATTCAAATTAATGCTAGGTTAGTCTTCAAAAATTTTAATCACATTATGTTTTTGCTCAAGAACTATCTATAGTCCCCTACTGCTTACCAATATCAAATTCAAATTCATATTCTCTTACTATAGATCCCTCACCACTTAGCCATGCTTTCTTCTCCCACTCTTTTTCAGAGTTAACTCTCCAGTCTTGTAACTCTTGTCCATTCTCTGATCCTGTGTGCTTTTACACTTGCCAATCCCTAACCTAAATGCCTTTCTTCCAATTCAGATTTTAGCTTTTTTTAAAAAAAAAAAAAAAAAACTAAACCAAGTTTAATCTCATCTAGAAGCATTTTCCTGATGGTGGCCCTTACAGATCTTTCTGTCCTTGAAATTATACCTCTTAGAAAAAGAATGTTATCATTTAGCATTTATTTTTTTCTTTTACTGTTTACCATGTATTGGTAATGGTTGTCTAACTAGATTGTATAAGCAAAAGTGATATGACATAGGACTTTACTTTTAGACATTATTAAATTGAAATTCCCATGAACGTTTAAAGGGGGTAATTTTGGTGGTGTGCTTATCAAATCCACAAATGACATGATTCTAAGAGGGTGGCAGATTTCAAAAATGACAATTTTCGTGTCTTCCTACATGTAGGACCTTGGAAAGTGATTTTGAATGTTCTTTCATCAAGAGATAGAGTTTATTTTTCCAACCTTCAATGTTGCTGGCCTTGGGATTTATTTTGGCCAATAGAGTGTGGGGCAGGTGATGATGTGCCTGTCCTGAGCTGAGGACTCAGGGGGCCTTCTTATTTCATTTGCTGTCATGGGATTCCCTCCCTTTCCCAGGCTAGCCTGTTGGAGAATGAAAGGTCATGTAGAGCTGAGACTAGCCATCACAGCTGAGGTTGTTCTAGACCAACCAGCTCCCAACTGACCACAGATGCATGAGTGAGCCCAGTTAAGTCTAAAAGGACATTGAGCTGAGTCCAAACTAATTACTGGCACATGGAATTAGAAGCAAAGTTGCTATTTGAAAATTCACTAAGTCTGGGGTGGTTTACTATATAGCAAAAGTTAATGGATACAAAGGGAATATTAAAAATGTCAGATGGCAGAATCTCAATCCTAAAAGACTTCAGCATTCTAGAATAATAAACCACACAATTAAGACAAAAATAACTGTGATAAGTGCAAAGCTCTAAATTCAAGTTAAAAAAAAAATCAACTTGTGAATATAGGAAAGCAGAGATAGAGCTTGCCAACATACATGCAAAACATTTAGTCACTTTGATTGACCACAAGCATCTGACTCAACCTTGTGTTTCCATTCTTCCAACAAAACTAATTCTACATAAAAAGTAATTTTATACTGTGTGAATTGTGTAGAGGCTAAAATAGATCAGTCTAGAGGGCAGTTACCATGATGCTGAAGGGCCCAGAAACCATCTCACATAAGGAAAATTGGAAGGCAATGAACTGTAAATCCAGTAGAAAGACTGAAAGGGTCGAGTGGGTTAGATAGCTACCTTCAACTAATTTAAGAGTTACCATGTGGAAAACAGATTGGACAAGTTTAGTGTCAGCCCACTAAAAATCAAGACCCATGAATGGAAGCTATAAGAAGGTAAATTTAAGGTCAACATAGGAAGGAAGTTGAGTTAGAGAGGCTGCATTTGTATACTGTTTATGAACGTAGACCATGGTGTCAAAACCAGGTCCTCTACTTACCAGCTATGTGTTCTTGGGTAAGCTGCCCAACCTTGCTAAGCATCAGTTTTCTCATCATTAATTCCACTAAAATGGAATTAATAACTGTACCATTTTATAAGATTGTGATGAAGATTAAACAGGATTTTTGAAGATGCACTTAACTTGGGATCTGACACATAGTAAGCACTCAATAAATTTTATTTATTATTATTCATAATAAGATCTGTATAAATGTGAAATGAGCTGCCTCACAAGGCAGAAAGTTCCCTATCACTGGAGGTATTTACAAGAGGATTGGCTGATGTTTGTAGAACAGATTTAAGAAACAGATGGGAAGTTAGAGTAGGTGACATTTAAATGACCTTCCAGCACTGAATAAGTCTGTCTGTATTCCTTAAGACTGGAATAACTTCTTTAGTATGTTTCAGAATACCTAGCACTATTGATCAAATGATATGCATGTAATACATTGGATAAAACTTTGTTGATTATATCATTATACATGTGGTTTCCCCATAGTAAGAGGTGTTCCGTGCCGAAATGAAAGTTTGTGAGGATTTTGATTTTTTTGTATCTCATATCCTCAAGAAGTGTATCATTGAAGTTTGTTTTTGTAATGATCAGTTTTGACTAAAACCCAAAACTACAATTTTAATGCAATAAGCTCTTCTTTGTGTGGTATTTAAATTCCTAGGTGCAAAGCTCTTATCTTTTCACACTTGGCATTCCCCTACCAGAATGCCTAACTTTAAACAGGTCAGATATTTTCAAGGCATAGGAAGCCGGGGTTTCTTCCGTGATTGGTCTCATATCAAAAGTCAAGCTGGAGTCAATAACCATTTTTCCTTCTCCTTATACATACAGCAACTGGAAGTGCTAATCACGTTTATCACTCTTGCCTACTAAAGGCACAGCAGGCAGTTCTAACTCCCATTGCAATTCTCTTTAATAAAATAGATTGGGTAGAATCACCTAAATTGTTTAATATGCCTATCTTCCTCAATAATCTCATTGTTATCAGTTAATAGAGAGGAATTCACACTGGCCAAGGCTTGAGTCTTTATGGTCTCAACTGATAAAAATCTTTCCTTTCCTTAAGATGAGTTTCAGCATAGTAAGAGGCATTAATCATCTGTAAGAAAAAGAAGTGCTTTATTTTCCTCATTAATGAAGTTAAGAGTCTGGTGCTCTGGCTGGAGAATGAAAAAATACACAAGTGAGAAGAAGAGTTCTGAATTCTAGGTTTGAATGAGCTCTGCATTCTGAGTACGTGGTGACATGAATAGACAAGGTATTCACAGGCACAAGCAGGATTTCTGGACCATGCCATGCCTAGTATGTGCCACATATTCAAGGCAAAGATTAGAGACACACTCATTACTCAGAGGAGACAATTACGTGCTATTTCAACTGAGTGAGAGCAATGCTGCAATAAAAGAAAGTGCAAGGTACAGTTTTAACCCAGAACAGAGGTTCTAGCAGTGGAGGAAAAGGAGCGGAAGTGAATTGTAAGATAGATTTTTTAAAAGCAAAAGGAACTAGGCAAGAACAAGCAGAAGGAGCAGTGTGAACAACAGTACCGAGTTGTGAAGTTGAGACTGGGGTACAGCATTGGAGGGAATGGGCAGTGGGCACTGAGGCCAGAGGGGTAGATACATCCCACATGTCTCCCTCTGCCATCCAGAGGTGTGGACCAACTCAGAAGCCAATGGATGCCATTCCACATCTTAGTGGAGAAAGTAAGTTGATCGTATTTACAACTTGTATGCAGTGTCCAGATGAGAGATGATGAGGGCCATAAACAGAGAATTCATAATGAGGAAGGAAACCGTGAGATTGAAGGACCATGCACCATCTCAGTTTGGTGGCTAACTGAATTCATGAGAGAGAAAGGAATTGTGGATGACACCCAGACATATGGCCTGAATTGCTGGGTAGAAGACAGGACCATCCACTGAGGGAGAAACAGAACATTCGTAGAGCATGAGAAGCAGAAGGGAAAGAGAAGCTAACTAGTTTGGTTCTGAACAGGCTGAGTAAATGAACCAACACAATAAAGACAACTGCTCAAAGAGAGAGAGTTGATTTACAAAAAAAAAAAAAAAAAAAAAAAAAAAAAAAAAAAAAAAAAAAAAAAACGAAAAACAAAAACAAAACCACAACCAGCACTTTGGGAGGCCGAGGCAGGTGGATCACCTGAGGTCAGGAGTTTGAGACCAGCCTGACCAGCATGGGGAAACCCCGTCTCTACTAAAAACACAAAATTGGCCAGGTGTGGTGGTGCATGCCTGCAATCACAGCTACTCGGGAGGCTGAGGCAGGAGAATTGCTTGAACCCGGGAGGCAGAGGTCGTGGTGTGCCAAGAGTGCCATTGCACTCCGCCTGGGCAATAAAAGCAAAACTCTGTCTCAAAAACAAACAAAAACAAACAAAAAAACAAAACAAAAAAACACAAAGTGCACCAGGGACGGAACACTGGGTAACAGAAAATTGCAGGTATTGTTGTAAGAGAGACCAAGAAGGTCAGATGAGAATTAGAATGGTCTGCTCTCACAAAACCCAAGAGAGGAACAACTTTCCAGAAGAGGGCAATTGAGTCAAATGCTGTGAAGATCAAGTCAGAGAAGAATTGGAATGTATTCTTTGGGTTTGGCAGTTAGGGGTTTCCTACTGATCCTGGCAAGATCACCTTCAGTGGTGCTGAGAATGAAGGAAACAACTTCCTTTCACAAAGCATGGGAACATTTTCATTTTCTCTTTTCTCTCTCTCCCTGTTTTTTTTTTTTTTTTTTTTTTTAAGATGGGGTCTCACCATGTTGCCCAGACTGGAGTGCAGTGGCTGCTTTCAAACAATCCTCCCACCTCAGCCTCCTGAATAGCAGGGATTACAGGCGCACATCATAGGGCTCAGCTTCTATTTTGTTTTAATCTCAACATAACATCTCTTATGGCTGATTCTTTTTGAAACTCCTTAGTGTAAAAATTGTAGTTTCTGACTTTTCCAAATGAATAGAGCCTTTTAAGAGTTATCATTCTGTAAGCAACTGTCTTTTAAGGTAAAGTTAAATTTTTCAGTAAGGAATTCATTAGAGAGGTTTTAGAAGGCATGTAATAAAAAGCAACCTGAACCCAGGTAATCAGAAAACATGGATCTCGGATTCATCAGTGTGAGAATTTCTTTCCTTTCGTTTTTCTGCCACTCCCTCTCCTTAACAAGCAGCTAAGATGTAAAAAGAATTGCGCTTGGTGCTTTGGGGACACTAATGAATAGAGCACGATCCTGCCCCACTTCAGCCCCTAGCCAAGGAGATTACAAGCCAGTGCAAAAGACAGATGTGCAATCAACCAACCTTAAAATAAGGTGGGCTGATATAAATGTTCACAGTGGTGCAAGTAAAGTTCTATGAGGGCCTAGAAGTAATCCTCCGTCTTTTATGAAATACAGGAAGTGACCTTTAAAAACACAGACACAACTGGGGAGTTCATCACTCCACTAATTACCTCCCTACTGTTCAGACCATAAACTTTTATGCAATCTGCTCTCTGTTCACCTCATTTGTACTCATTTATTTTAACAGGCATCCAAGCTGCCTATATGCAAAAACTTTACAGGTATTAGTGGTGAGTGGAGATTTTAACTCCACCCTTGACTTGACTGTAATTCTTTCATTAAACTGAACTTTAATGATATTTAATAATATCACTTTGAATCTTTTCATTGAAAGTGTTAAAGTTCTGAAAATTAAATGCATAACCTCATGGATTAGGTGGACACTAAGCCTCCTTCTCCCAGGGGAGATAAACTGGGACACCTCAATATATGGAATGGCTTTTGAAGA